ACAAAGTGATCCAAAATCGAAGCAACCTTCACATGCCTCTTCAACAAGCGCTATACTCACACCCTGAAGGTTGCAGGAGGTGTTCCCAAGCACTAGGAAGGTCCAACATACACTGGAGTATCACTCACACAATCTCTCTGTTGGTAATTTGTTTTCGATCTCAAACTAGATAAGTATGAAGTTTTTAAATTCATGTTAATCATACATTCATGTTATTGCTAATGTTTGTGATTGCTTTCATGTGTTACATACAAGGTTAAGCGTAGGGATGAGATCGTGCCATTTCTTAGGCACTATAATACGGTGGTAGAACCGACTATTATACTGGTTTTGCGTTTTGTATTCGCAAATGTTACGGTAAGCAAGAGTCTCCATTGACTTTTCTTTTATCCAACAAAAGGAAAGGGTGAAAATAACATAGAAAAGACCTTTCAAGAGTTTTCTGAGTATGGGGGTAGATTAAGGAAAGGGAATGTGTTATCACCCTTTCCATCTGTAGTTACCTACAGGCTCTTAGATGCTTAGCTCATGTTTTGAAAATTACTTGTGCTTTTTGTGTTTTGAAAATTGTTTTAAAAATGCCTTAGTGCGGTGATTCGCTTTGTGATAACTCTTGCATCAGTCCTCAAGAGTGTTAACAAGTCGAATATTTTCGAAAGTGTTTTGAAATGTTTTTTTGTGTAGGTGAAAAAAGTTATTTTGAGCAAGCATCTAAGAACTTATCTACTTATACTCGAAAAGGTCGTTCTTTTCCTCCTATCCTTTAGACATTTCTATCCTACTATTAGTGAGTAGATAGCCCTATCATTGGATGTATGAGGGACAATCAAAGGGACGTACAGTCATAAAGGAAACATGTGGAGACACTTTAGCAATTTGTTTAGGGACTAGATCATTTACCGAAAGGCAACTGTAGGGTCATCGAGGGACTATGATCTTTTGATTTAAGGGTCTTTGCTAAAGCGTCCCCGTTTCGAGGGACATGACTGTTGTTTTTCCGAGGCAACAAGAGAGGTCACCCTAGAGGTGCAAGTGTGAGAATAGTGTATTGAGTTCAGTTATATTATCTTTGAATTAGGTTATGCTATGTTCAATTAGTTTATCGGTCTTTCCATACAATCCTATTAGCCATACATCTAAGTAGTTTAGTAGGGTGCAGTAAGTAAATTATGGAAAATAAAACTCATAAGTTATTACAAGGCCTTGGGACAGTTACATAATTAGATGCAGAACTTTAAAACCTAATTAAAGTTATTACAAACTGGGAAACAGTTACATAATTGAAAATAATGCGAGAAAGTTAAACTACGAATATTACATGGCTTTTTAAATTTATACAATATCCCAAAAATAATAATAAAAGCAAGCGAGAATTTGAGGTTGAGAAAAAAGAGTTTGAAAACAGGGTTTGAAAAATCAGAAATTAATTAATTATGTACAATATTATTAACCCTAATTTAACATAAAGTAATTTTAATTAATTAGTGAAAATAATTCCAAGTTAACCCAATTTTATTTACAGGAAAATTAAGCTAATTTAATTATTTACCAAAAAACGATTAATTTATTTACAAGAAAATATTATTTTTTTGTATTTTTGAATAATGATTAATTAATAAAAGGCAAAAAACCCTAAATCTAATTAAATTAAATTATATATAAAAAATTAATCAAATAAATAAATCATGTTAATAAAACCCTAATCCTAATTTTGGTGATTTGTGATTGGTAAAAAAAATTAATTAAAAAAAGAAATAATTAGTTTTAATTAAAAAAGCCTTTTCTTTTTTTATAAAATAATAAATAATAAAAATAATGGAAGGGAAAAAAAAGAACCAGTGGGGGTCGCTGGGACTTGAACCCAGGACCCCTGCTTTGTTGGCCTGCAGCTTGACCACTCAGCCACTTTGTTATTTCTGTTAGAAAAATGAAAACAAATAATATATATAAAAAACAATTAAATTTAAATTTGAAAAAACGCGTGCAGGTGACAGCTCATCATCTTCTTCGTTTGAAATATACATACCCTTTAGTGATGGTCGTTGTCGTCACTAAAGGCTTTAGTGATGCTCCTCTCCGTAGTTATAGCACCTGCTATTGTACCCCAATTTTTCCCCTAAGATCCATCATTATACTTCGTACATTTCACACATAGCATTGGTCTCATGGTTATAAGATCGAAGAGCTTTAGCATTAGGGTTTCTCTCTCTGAATGGAGGTGGGTCGCTTCAAATGAAAAGTGACTAGAATCTGTGGATTTAATTGAGATTGAGGTACATAACCTTCATTAGGTCATCTGACGCATCATGCATCATTAATCAATAGTTTGGCTTGAGATCAGGGATTTCGAGGAATTAGGTTTGTTGAATGGCTTTAAGGCTCTTATCTTTGCACAAGCTTGTTTCGGTTGATTTCTCCATCAATCATTTGTTCGAATTAGGATTTTTATTTCCTGGATTTCTTTTTCATAAAACTACAGGGATATTCTCTCTCCTCAGCATCAGGTTGCAATCTTTCGTCAATGCTTAAGAATTAGGGTTTTCTTCTATTATGCTTAAATTGGGGTTTTTTACCTAATAATAAGCGTTTATCCCCTAAGAAGAATAGAGTTTACTCAGCTGATGAGAACTTAATGAGTCGCTTTAATGAAAATCAAGCTCGTATAAATGAACGTGATGAATTCTTACGCACCAAAACGACTAAACGTAGTGCATCAGCAAATTTTGATTCCAAGAAAAAAAAGCAAGTTTCTCGACGTGAAAAGGAAGTGTCAGAAAACTCGACTGAAAAAGTTCTAATTTCTGAGGATGTAGGGGATCACACCAGAAAGAAAAATAGGGGAGCTCAGAGTAATGGATTCTTAGAGGCTAGTCATAATAGGTGTACTGCTTCAAATTTATGTCAGTCAAGTGGTCAAAATGAAGCCTTTCATGTTGAACCAGATATTGCCTTTAAGGCAACTTTAACGCCTCAGAAGAAAAACTCCTGGAGGTAATACCCGGTCTGAACCTGAACCAGATTTGCAGCTTAAAGATTTAAAGTGTTCCCAGTTGACTGCTAGTAGTGTTAAAGCTCAAGATAATATTGTTCATGGTTGTGGGATAGAGATACCAGGTGATACAATAATAGAGCACTACTAGGTTTAGAAATTTTCTCATGTAATTTTGCTTAATGGTTAACCAAAATTCCATCCCTCTCTATGAGAAAATATGGATCAAACACTCATTTTCAAGAGTTATGGATTCTTTGATCTTACTCCTCCTTCTCGTTCTCCTTGGTTACAGATTTTTATCTCATGAGAATCACAGTTTCCCTTGGTTTGTTGCATTTCTATGTGAATCATGGTTCACCATCACATGGATTACCACCATGTCCACCAAATGGACTCCGGCTCGTACCAAAACATTCCCCCACTGTCTCGCACATAGGGTATCTGAATCTGAGCTTCCAGCATTGGACTTATTTTAGACAACAGCAGATCCAGTTCTTGAACCACCAATTATCACAGTGAACATTGTCTTGTCATTATTGGCACTTGATTACCCTTCTAACAAGCTATCCTGCTATGTTTCTATTGGTGCTTGTTCACCTCTTACCTTTTATGCCCTTCAAGAAGCTATAAAATTTGCTGAAATTTGGGTACCTTTTTGTAAGAAATACAATGTACAATGTAGAGCACCTTTTTGATACTTCTGCGATAAAGCCATAGATAACAAAGATTTGCCAAAATTCAAACAAAATTGGTTAAAAATGAAGGAAGAGTATGAACAACTTAGCAGTAAAATTAAAAGTGCATCTAAAAAGTCGATTCCGTGTCAGCTTATGGGAGAATTTGCTGTATTTTCACAAACACGGGTTAAAAATCATCAAACTATAATCAAGGCAATTCAAAGAAATAAAGGTCTTCCTGATACGATGCCTTGCGTAATCTACATTTCTATAGAGAAGAGTTCAAAACACTCGCATCATCACAAAGCTGGTGCAATGAATGTCTTGACAAGAATCTCTAGATTGATGACAAATGCGCCGTTTATCCTAAACTTAGATTATGACATGTATGTGAATAATCCTAAGATTGTACTACATGCACTTTGCATTTTGTTGGATGCGAGAGGAGAAAAATAAGTCGCATTTGCTCAATGTCCGCAACGATTCTACGATGTTGTGAAAGATGATGCTTATGGAAATCAGCTTGTGGCTTTGCCTATGTACATATGAGGTGGATTTGCTGGACTTCAAGGAATTATATATGCAGGAAAAAATTGTTTCCATAGAAGAAAAGTTATTTATGGTCTTTCTCCTAATCTTGACGTTCAAAATGCAAACAAGGATCATGGCTTCGCCAAAGGAACGTTGTTATCAGAAAAAAGAAACAGTGCAAATATTTGGAAACTCGAAGGGATTTGTTGACTCGGCTACTTATATTTTAAAAGGGACCCTGCAAAAATACTTAAGAAAACAGTTCATCAAAAAAACCAATCCATTACTGTCATAACAGGAAGCAAAAACTGATTTCTAACAGCTTCTAATCTAAAAAAACTAACTCTAACAAAATTCCAACCGATTTTCTAACCTCCTAACCGCCTGTAACTAACTTCCAATCAACATTCAAAAACAGAAACTGATTTCACAACAGGACCTTAGCAAATTCCCTAACTGTATTTAACAAATACCAAACTAACCGAATATAACAAAGTCAGCAATTCCCAACCAAAACTAACTCCCTAACTGATTCAATCTTGACCCTTGAATCTTCTAACAAACTGGCAATCATCAATGGCTCTGAATCTCTCTTCTCTAACCGCTTTCACTACCTTCATCAACCTATATAAGCAAAACTCACTTTCATTCAGCAGGTTGTCCAGGATTTCATGAATTCATTCTTCACCCTCTTTATAATATCTCTCTGCAACCTCTCTTCTTTGAACCATTTCCTCCATTTTTCTTCACTCATCTTCTACTTCAATCTAGCTCACCCCCAAGAACCACGGTTAATCCTCTCAACTCTTTCCTCGAGGAACAACTGAAGAATTCCATATTCCTCTCTCTCTAATTCTCTCAATCGGAAACCTTGTTGCAACTTTATCATACATCATCCTCACCGCATCGACTTGGTCATTCTTCATCTGCAATCATAACTATCAATCTCAGAGAAACGCAACAGAAGCACATACCATGAATCAAGAAAGTCGAAGAAAAATGGATTAGATAAAGCAGTGCAAGCGAAACTTACCGTTGTATTTCTGATAATCTTCTCTGATCTGAAGAAGCACCGGACTATCTCTGGTAGATAAGGAATTATACTTCTTTCATCTTTTCCTTCACTGAATGATTCATATAAGTTTGAATGTGTTAAAATCAATCGAAATCGCGAGCAAGATAAGAATAGAGTGATATTTGATGAGTCAAAAACTAGTCGATGAATCTGAGAAGTGAAACGAGTGAATCTAACGAAATCATGAGACGGAAAAGGTGAGCGGATCCTGAAACTGTTAAAGCCGCGACTGAGGAAAAACAGAAAAAACACATGAGAGAACTCACCAAAAAAACGCTCTCTGCAATTTCCCTGCAACTTCATCATCCTCATATTATTCAACCCTCTTCATCTGTGAATCAAAAAACCTCCATCATCAACTACTTCAAAGCTTCATCATCTTCACCTCTCTGCACAAGATTCGATCTTCATCTTCAAGATCCGGCAATTCTTCACCAATGTGCATCTTCGATCATCATCATAAACTAATCCTCCATAATCATTGCTCAACCTTAATCATGTTCAATCGTAAACCTGTGCTTCATTAATCGTTAACTTCAAATATTCATTGTCGCATCAATTCTACAACATCCACAAAACTACATCGGTATCATCTTGCTGCAACAATCTTAAATCTTTATCTTTGTTTCACAACAACTTCATCAACGACCACAACTTCATCAAACACTGCAAATTGTAGCACAAATCAGCAACACACGGAATATACAAAGATCCGAAATTTCAGAAATATGAAGAAGGAGAAGACGAGTGTAGAACAGAGTAGAATCAATAACTGCAGAGTCAGAAGCAAGAGGATCATTACATTGAGGAATAGCAGCTTGGATCGGGGTTTCGAGTTCACATCCAGTCAGATGTAGGAAGGTTGAGGAGAAATCATAGAAAATCGAGGCTGGATTTGAGACGAGGGGAGCGAGACGAAGTGAGTAGTGTTACCAATTTGCGCTTCTAGGTTGTGGCTGTTGCAGCCGCCACCGTAAGGCATGCCGGTCCGGTGGCGTATCATTTTGAACGAAGGAGGTAGGGTTTGAGTTGAACGTTGAAGCTAAAGAGTCTTGGTGGATGTTAAACACATCCTTTTTGGATTTTTTTTCTCTTCTTATATATTATTCTTTTTATGATAATCATAAAAAACAATATCTGAACGAAAGGATCTTTGGATTACACACGATGGGCTTTCTACCGGCATGTCCATGAAGCCTGTGCATTTTGTTGAAGCCAAATATCTTGTGAACACAAGAAGAAGAAAAACCACTATTCTGAACCTATTGGGCTTGGGTTCTGCGCCCAATTTACTACAGTACACTTCTGGATCTTAGCTTGCACCCCCCTGGTTTATTCCATTTGCAACTTTTTTTGAATAATTTTGTTAATTGTTTAGATTTGTTCGAATTTTCTCCACATGATAAAATCAATAAAATTTGTTAGATTTTTTTATTAGATTTTAGGAATTAAATCATGATTATCTGATTACTCGAGATTTGTGATTCTCCTTTGTTTGTCGAGATTTGAGTCTTATACAGGTTCATTATGTGATATGCGGATGTGCTAGAGCTTCTGATCATGATTTATTTTCACATCGAAGATGCTTTGACACTTATTTTGTGTACTCGGTCTCTGACTGTTTGTTTATTAATGTCAGCTCGTGCAAAGTATCTCAAATTTTCTTCGCTTTGGTTGCGCTTTTTGCGGACATTATTGTCTGTTTGGTATTATACTGCTTCTAAGCTATATTTTCACATTTATTGCTTTCTAGATATCATGAGAAGTAGGAAATAAAGAGCGTGCGCTCGAAGTCGCTGTTTAAAGACCTGTAGCAGGCATTCCGCACTTCGTTTCTGTTATGTGTTGTGCTTGTGTTTGCTTTCTTTCTTGTTGATCGATGAGCCACTCAATTTAGAAATTGAGATCACGACTTCGCTCTCAGTGCATGCTCCCTATAGGATTTTATATCTTTCCTTTATTTCTTATTGATCGATGAGTCACTCAATTTAGAAATTGAGATCACGACTTCGCTCTTAGTGCATGTTCCCTATAAGATAGTTTGTTCGATTTTCTTTGGCATGCTAACTTAGGTAGAATCCCTCATTGTTTGATAACATTAGGTTAGAGATAGGTTAGTCTCCCTTAGATGTTCTCTTCCCATTTTTTTGCATAATTGCATTTAAAACTAAAACTTCCTTTTTCTTGGCAAATGCATAAAAAATGCTAATCATACAAGAATACTTTTCATTAAAAAAAATACCAACCAATCCATTTCTTCTCGCCATTCGGCTTTTCTCTTCTAAGAGCATGTTAGCTCCTTTCCACTTCAGGTCGTAAGTCTCCAAAGGTCGAGCAGCGGTGGAATGATCGAATGCAACATTGTTCATTTAAAAAATACAAACAAACAAAATATATGAGCTGAACTACGGTATCTCTGATTCCTCAAAAAGGATACGTAGGCATTGGGGTAGGGGCCAAGCGAGTACAACTTTATTTTCCCTACATTCTTTCTCCTTTCTTTGCATGCATTCTCTCTTATTTTATAACCCTTAAGCATTAGATTGAACACACCCTTTGATTAAAATAACGAGAGTGGATCCCGTAGAGTACTATGGACGTGTGGGGTGCTAATACCTTCCCCTCGCGTAATCGACTCCCTTACCCAATCTCTCGGTCACAAGACCTTGATTTCCCCTTTAGGTTTTTCTTTGATGATTTTCCTTTCCCTTTCATATTGGATAAATAAATACTCGGTGGCGACTTCATTGATTTTACCGCTACAGAAAAATGGCGACTTCACTGGGGAAACATGTCGACCAATTGCTGATCCATCCCGTGAGTCACTCCTAGCTCCCGTTTTTTCTTTTCTTAGGGTGTTTATCATTATGATTTTATGGATTATTCATTTGTATATGTTTAAGCATATGTTTGCATTGCATCTTTATTGTTATTTGTCATATTGTTGCTGTGCTGGTTTCTCTGTCTCTTGATTAGTGGGATGTTACTATTAGGTAAAAGGCCAAATACACAGGCCAAGCGGAACCACTAGGAATAGAGTGGAACATGAACGGCTAGTTGACTTAGGTTTCACTATGCCGCCATGTCGTCCACGCTCATATGAGGTACAAATGAGGGGCTATCATTTTCACGTAGGTGATATGGCGATAGTTTCTCAGAAGTACCCTCGATTCTGAGTTACCATTGACCTTACCATGACCTAGTATTTACCCGTGAGTGGGGAGGGAATAATCTTTACAGGTACAGATGGTGACTATACATGTTCCGGTTGTGAGTCTGATTATATTGATGACTTTGATCCTTGGTATTCTGATTTGGTCCGGACCTTTGATCTTATTACATATGACAATGGTTTTGTTATCAGTTCAGCAACTATCCAGCATTGCAGAAACTTCAATCTTATGATTGTTGCACTTACATCATGGCATATTTATTTTATAAAAGAAACGCAAAAAAAAAGAAGCAAGAGTTCTCCTGGAAATGATAAGACACTTCATGCATAATCATTCATCCATGCATACCATATTATAACAGGTGGGTAACGACAGGTTTTCTTATCTTTGATTCGGGTTTCTTTACAGAGATTGCTACCGCAAATTTTCATTGTTATAATACTCGAAGCACTTTCAAGAGGCAGATGGAAATCTCGAACAAGAGAATCTCGAACTGCACAAAGAGGTCACCGCTTTGAGAACCAGAATGGCGAACTTGACTGCTTTGGTAGAGTCGTTGGTGGCTGCTCAGAATCAGCCACCACCACCTCCACCTCCTCAGGCTACGCAACCAAAACAAGGAACGGTTGTCTCTGAAATTACGACAGCTCCCATCTCAGTTGCTCCAAATACTACTGCTTCTCAGCATCACATGCCTCCTAGATATCCATGGGGAATGCCTGAAAGTTACACGCCAGAAAGATATAACCCTACTCCTCAAATTGCTTAATCTGATCAACAAGTTATGGCTTTTGTCCCTCCCGTGGTACACGTTGCTCCTGCAGTCAGCAATGAGATCCGTCATGTCGTGCCTCCAGTAATGAATATTGTCCCTGTTGTTAATGATGTGGTTCACCATCCTACTCCGCCGCCAAGCGGAGGAATTGGATTCTATGACAGAATGGATGACTTCCAAGATCAGTTTAATGAGATACGAAAGTAAATGAAAGCCCTTCGAGGAAAAGAATTGTTCGTACAGAACGTGAGTGATCTATGCCTAGTTCCAAATGTAAAAGTACATGCGAAATTCAAAGTGCCTGAGTTCGAGAAATATAAAGGCAATACTTGCCCCCGTGCTCATATGATAATGTACGTGAGAAGGATGTCCACTCACACTGACGATCAACATTTGCTGATCCACTTCTTTTAAGATAGCTTGACTGGTGCTGCACTAAAGTGGTATATGAGCTTGGATAATGCTAATATTCATACCTTCAACGACCTGGGAGAGGCGTTTGTCAAACAGTACAAGTATAATGTGGACATGGCGCCTGACCGCGATCAACTCAGGGCTATGGTCCAGAAAGATAAGGAGTCGTTTAAGGAATACGCGCAAAGGTGGCATGAAGTGGTCGCCTAGGTAATCCCCCCAATGGAAGAGAAGGAAATGACGAAGATCTTTTTAAAGACTCTGGGTTCCTTCTACTACGAAAGAATGGTGGCGAGTGCACCGAGTGACTTCACCGAAATGGTGGGTATGGGTGTTCACTTAGAGGAAGTCGTAAGAGAAGGTTGTTTGACGAGAGATGAAAGTTCTAGTGGTGCAACGAAATCGTCATATGGATTTTCTAGAAAGAAATAAGGGGATGCAAATGATGTTGTTCAAGAGAGAAGAGCTAAACCACCTGAAAGGCGTCAAGCACATCCACAACAGGTTGCTTCGGTCACTCTGGTTGTTAACGTGGCTCCGACTGCTATTGTGTATCAAAGAACACCTCAATAAAGCAACCAAGGGAAGAGTCATAAGAGAGAGCCCTTTGACCTCATCCCAATGAGTTACACAGAGCTATTTCTAGCACTGATTCAGAAAAATTTAGTGCAGACCAGGAGTCCACCCGCTATACCGTCTCCTTTACCATGGTATTACAAGGCAGATCAGACGTGTGCCTTATACCAGGGAGCCCCTGGGCACAATCTCAAAAATTGTTATTCTTTGAAGTCTGAGGTTCAAAAGATGGTTAGATCTGGAATCTTATCCTTTAAAGACGCTGGTCCCAATGTGAAAGACAACCTGTTGCCTAAACATGGAGGTGGAGGAACAGTGAATATGATCTCTGATGATCCAGGAGAGTCCCGAATTTATGATGTGAATTTGATAAAAGGCAATTTGGTGAAGATGCACGTTGACCTGTATAGGCTTGGCTACTGTATGCATGACCATAATATGTGTGATATCTGCAGTCATAATAGCCGTGGATGTGATAAGGTGAAGGTCGACCTCCAAAAAGTGATT